GTGCGTGTGCAAGTGCGAGCATGTCTTGCAGATGCGAACGGCTGTCGACAGTGGCAGCTGTACGCAAATTCGCTCCGTACCGCATCCCGGACGCTGCGTTTGCTCCCTGACATTTGCCTTGGAGCCGCCCACTAGTTGCCGGTTGCCGCGCCTTTTGCTTCTCCACCAGCTGGGCTGTGTGGGTCGGTCACCAGCAGACGCTGAAATGCGTGTCGATGTGGGGCATTTTGTCCCTGGCGTGTGCATGTGCCGCTGCGTGTGTTGTCCGCTGGAGTCTGCGGCAATCTCGCGCCAATTATCTACGTGCCGCGCCCCGGACGTTGTGATCGCTCCATGTCCCTCGCCTTGGAGCCGCGAACCAACAAAGTATCCCCGCCATCTTGCGTCTGTTGGCTGCGCCCCCCCTCCACTATGTGGTCAGATTCAGCCCTGGCTGCGTTCCAGCGCTCCATGAGCTGGTCGCGGCAGCTGTGGATCTAGGCGACACTCGTGGCCGCTACCTGCAAGGTTGCAGTGTACCGGCTCTTGGGCCAGACTGAGTCCCCTCTCATCGTTGTTGCCCCGGCCAGTCACTGGTTTCGAGTACGATGACCGTCGCGCCGGCCCCCCCCAGTGCAGCGGTGTGGTTCGTGGAGTGAGTGCTCTGTAGGGACCTGCCGTTCCTCTGCCTTTGTTTCCCCGCCGATCCCACGTGCGGCTGTGGTGTCCGTGGACTTCGCGTTGAGTGGTTCAGCCTTCTGCGCCGTCGTTCCCGTTTTTCACTGCCTGCTGTCGGCTTGGGGAGCTGCTCGGAGCTTGGCGCCGCCAGGGCGACTTCCTCCGTTGCGCTCGCACTGCTGGCCGCTTGTTCACTTCGGTGTGGCCGGCGCCTATGTGCGTCTGCCTCTCGAATGCGGAGCATTTTGCTCAGTGCATGTGCACCTCACGCATCGCGTGTAATTTGCCATGATCCGTAGTCCCGGACATCGCTGTTGCCGCCAGACCGTGGTCGCGCGGCCGCCGACCCAAAAACAAATATCCCCACCATCGGGTTTTCGGACGCCACCGTGGATGGGTCTACCGGTTCTTTTCGCCCTTTTGAGGTGCCGCCCGTTTGCTGCGCATGTCTTGCTTTTCCACTGCCTAGTCGTGGCCCGGCTACAGTTTGTCGCTTCGCTTGCCTTTCTTTTCCTGCTGCCTAGTCGCGGCCCGATTAGTGTTCGGACGGCTTTCGACCCGCCTCGCGAGCCTGTTGACCAATAAGTACCCCCACCAGATTTATGCCTGACCCTCACTGTACGACTTGTTTTGACGGCGCGCAGCTGCCTGCGTCGCTCGCGAGCAAAAAGTATCCCCACCAGCCCATCCAGAAACGATCAGCAGAGGAGTTGGTGAATCAGGGGCGGCAGGACGCATGCAGTCGCGCAGCCGTCTTCGGGAAAACAATGATCACAAATAGCTTCCCGCATGGAAGTTCAAGATGGAAATCGGTGCAAGCTACGATGGTGCTTCGATGAGGGGTGAGGGTGCTTCGATGACTCGTAATGGCTGTTGCACTGATTTGTATCTTGAACTCACGTGCGTTTCGAAACTTGGGGCCATCTTGGGGCTCTCTTGGGTTTCTCTTGCCCTCTTGGGGCCCTCCTGGAGCTCTTTCGTGGGGCTCTCTTGAGGTCCCCTTAGGGCCTTCTTGGAGCTCTCTTGGGGCTCTTTTGGGGGCTCCTGCTTCGCTCTTGGGGCTCTTTTGGGGGTCTGGGGGCCTTCTTGGGGCTCTTTTGGGATGCCGGAGGGGCCTCTTGGGGCCGTCTTGGGCCTTTTCGCTAAAAAAGAGGGGGTCTTTAATTCGGACCCCCCCATCGGAGGCTCAAAAGTGCCGTCTTGGGGCCCTCTTGGCCCGCACTTTGAGCGCTCTTGGGGCCGTGTCGGGGCTCTTTTGGATCCCTCTTGGGGCTATTTTGGATTGTTTTAGTGCCATCTTGAGGCCTCAAAAGCCCATCGGAGGCGAAAAAGCGAGAAGGCAACAAACATGGTTTTCCTTAGGTGTTTGAAGGATTTTGGCCTCTTGGGGGAGTCCTCGGAGGCTTCGGGCAGCACTTGAAACCGTCTTGGGGCTGTCTTGAGGCCTCTTGGACGTGTTTCGGAGGCTATCTTGACCCATCTACCGCTATCTTGGGCCATCTCGGAGGCCATCTTGCGCTCTCTGAGGCCCTCTTGGAGCCAGCTTGGGCCATCTTGGACGCTGCTGTGGGTCGGGCCCCCCCCGACCAAACGCATGGAGGGGGGGGAGGTAAACCTCCCAAGCAGGGAAAGGAAGGAGGTTGGAAAAGGAAACGCCCTAGACCACCTGCGCCCAAAGGGCTGGTGGCATTAATATGCTCTTCCTGGGGTTCACACCTTGTTTTGTAAAAAGGGGAAGTCTTGGGGCTCATCTCATATTGTTGGCATCGGGTTTGCAGCGACAGCAGCTCCTGCTTGTACTTCCTCGCGATTTATTTCACGATCGCGCTCGGATAATGGGAGATGCAAAAGCTAAATCATGAGGTCTCTGGAAGCAGTGTCGGAACCTGCTTGTTTTTCGACCCTGACCCTACGGATCTGCGTCACGGGCGCCACCGAATTTCAGAATGTGGCAAATTCTTTTTGTTTTTGCACCCTGACCCCGCCGATCTGCATGAGGGGTGCTGCCGATTTCAGAAATGTGGCACATCCCCTGTGTTTTTGGACCCTGACCCTGCCGATCTGCGTGAGGGGTGCCGCCGAATTTTTGAAATGTGGCAAATCCCCTGTGTTCTTGGACCCTGACCCTGCCGATCTGCGTGAGGGGTGCCACCGAATTTTAGAAATGTGGCAAATCCTTTGTTTTTTTGCACCCTGACCCTGCCGATCTGCGTGAGGGGTGCCGCCGAATTTCAGAAATGTAGCAAATCCGTTGTGTTTTTGCACCCTGACCCCGCCGATCTGGTGAGGGGTGCCACAGAATTTCAGAAATGTAACAAATCCTTTTTGTTTTTGCACCCTGACCCCGCCGATCTGCATGAGGGGTGCCACCGCATTTCAGAAATGTGGCAACATTCTTTTTGTTTTTGCACCCTGACCCCGCCGATCTGCGTGAGGAGTGCCACCGAATTTCAGAAATGTGGCACATCCCCTGTGTCTTTTGGACCCTGACCCCGCCGATCTGCGTGAGGAGTGCCACCGAATTTCAGAAATGTGGCACATCCCCTGTGTTCTTGGACCCTGACCCCGCCGATCTGCGTGATGGGTGTAAATTTTTACCCACCCCAGCAATTCAGAGCACACGCTCAGGGCGTGGTAAAAATGCCCGTTTTGGGCCTCCCCCCTTCGCGCGGTCCATCAAAAGGGAACAGTAAGCAGCAAGAAGCATAACTGTAACAAGGAACAGTTCGCAGCAAGAAGCAGAACTGTAACAGTGGAAACTGGAAGCTGCAACTGCTACAGGAAACTGCGAACCTAAGGCCTACAGCCTGGTGGCCCCACAAGGGGGCCGGCGGATTTGGGGATCGCGCTGTCGTTCGAGACTTCCTCGCGATACATGCAGGACTCGCGCTTCAGCGACCCGCCTGCTCGACCTGGCCGCCTGGGCCGGCCTTCCCGACCCGCCTGTTAAGGTCTACCCGCCCGATCTGCACGTCTGGTTCTGCCACGTTTTCTTGCTCCTTGCCCCCCTCCTTCCAATCTCTGTCGCGAGGCGGGCCGGCGCGGCGAGCGAGACAGACGCGCGCGCTACCCTGGCGAGCGCCTCCTCCCAATCATCCTCGAGGCGGGGGGTCTGTGCGGGGCCGACGCGCACCTCTGGCTGAAGGCTGAGGTGCGCCGCTTGCCCCACGCCGAGCAGGCCCGCGAGCTCGCCCGCGCGCGCCGCGTGCCTCCCCGCGGCTTGCAGGGCGAGCCGGCGCGCCCGCCGTGCGCGGCCGCGGGCCTGCGCTGAGGCGACGGCGGGCGGCGCGCGGGCGCCAGGGCGGCGGGCGCGCGGCGGGGCGGCGCGGCGGCGCTGCCCCCGAGCTCCAGCGGCGGCGACGCACCGAGCCCGGGCACTGGGCGGCTCCTCGAGGCTCCGGCGGCGGCGGGGCGCAGGGGGCGGCGGCGGCGCGCTGCGCGGCGGGCGGCCCTCCGAGGCGCTGCCGCGGGGAGCTGCGGCGCGCGGCTGCCTGGCGCGCCGGCCAGAGCGCCCCCTCCCCGCGGCGCCGCCTGGGCGCGGCGGCGCCCTGTCGCTGCGCCGGCAGGGGGCCGGAGGGCGTTGTGGAGGACGATCAATGGAGAGGAAGCGTGTTGCCAAGTAGTTTCCAGAGGTCTGACACATTCTCCAGACATGGTTTGACCATGTGAAAAAAGCGGGCTTGCCACAGGTTCAGAGCATGTTTTGCACATTTCTACGCACGTGATGAGATTGTTGCAGTGTCCAGTGTCACGGCATCCGTGGCCAGAGGGCGGCGGCGAGCGGGCGCCGCGCTGCCGGGGCGCCGGATCGTGGGCGCGCGAGCCCTCTCCTTGGGAGAAGTCCTCGTGCGGGACTTCGCCGGGAGTGGGCGCCAGTCGCCAGGTGCTGGTCCGTCCGAGTCGCTGGCGCGGGCTGGTGCGGACAGGCTTCGAACGCACAATCTGTCTTTCTGTCTGTCGGTCGGTCGGTAGACCGGTCGGTCGGTCGGTCGGTCGCTTTGTGTATATGTCAGTCAGTCAGTCAATCATTTTTTTGTTTTTTTTGTTTTCTCTGCCTCGCTCTCTTGTTTCTCTTTCTCTCTCTCTCTCTCTTTCTTTTTTTTTGTCTGTCTGTCTATCTCTCTCTCTCTCTCTCGCTTTCTCTCTCTCTCTCTGCCTCTCCGTCGCACATCTTTCTGTTGCACCCCCCCTCTCTATCTTCCGCACCGCCCCCCGTCTCTCTCTCTCTCTCGTTCTCTGCCTCCCTTTTCTCTTACCTTGCCCCTCCCTTGTTTTCCCCTTGCCTATCCAGAAGACGTTCCTTCCCTTCCTTTCCCTTCCCCTCCCCCCCACCCCCCTGTCAGGCAAGGGGCAGTTCTCGTGGTCGGACGGCTCCCGATACGAGGACCTGGGGGAGGGGTGGAGGGAGACAGAGAAAACAAGAGAGAGAGAGAGAAGTTACGTGGGCCCCCGAATGTCAGGACTCCTTCCCCGAGACGGGCTTTTCACGTCGACTCGTTTTTTGGTGCCCCGTGTCCCCAGAGGCCGCAAACTGCCAAAACCGTTCCGTCATGATTTTTCACGACGAGAGGAAGTGTGTGTGTGTGTGTGTGTGTGTGTGTGTGTGTGTGTGTGTGTGTGTGTGTGTGTGTGTGTGTGTGTGTGTGGGAAGGGGGATGTGTAGAAGGGGCCTGGGGTGGGAACAAGAGGGGCGGCGGAAGGTGGTGGCGGCGTCGCGAGGCAGGCTGGTTTTGGCGGGCTGCGAAGAGTCGTGCGGCTTCTGGGTCATAGCTCGGATCTCGGGCGGCCGTTCGGGCCGTTCGGCCGTTCGGCG